TTTTTCCGTGTCCGGCAACGGATTGCAACCCTCAGTGTTGCCCCCGTACCGGACCAGGGACCGGCAACGGGATTGCAAACCTCGGCGTTGCTCCCGTGCCTCGCTCAGCCAGTGAGCGGGAGCCGGTCCGTATGTGGGATCCGAACCCTCGGGCGGGAGCGCCACCGCGCTTCCCAAGCGGCGCACTACCCAGTGCGCCACCGGGCCGGCCCCCTTTTTGTCTTTTTTTGTGACCGGCAACGGATCGCAACCCTCGGTGTTGCGCCTGCACCTTGCTCAGCCAGTGAGCGGCTGGTCTGTATGTGGGATCTGAACCCTCGGCGGGAGCGCCGCCACACTCTCAAGCGGCGCACTGTAGCAGTGCGCCACTGGGCCGGCCCAGAAGTCAAAGACTTCTAATATACACTCACTCAAATATATATATTAAGTATCTGCAGACTGCCAATCCAGGACACAGAAGCATGCAAGACAGGGTCTCTTCTCTCAGTAGAAAAGATAAGACATGACTCCACACAGGTAGAATGCACATAGCATCTGCACATATGCTCTGCCTTCTCCACTGTCTAAAGATAAACCTCACTCCTATCTAAAGCAGCCCCTCATTGGATCCCATCTCCTCTTGCCTAATCAACAACATCTCTCCAACAATTATTCCTTTCTCTCCTGCATCATTGAAATCTTCCTCTATTAGGGCCGGCCCATGGCTCACTTGGGAGAGCGTGGTGCTGACAACACCAAGTCAAGGGTTAAGATCCCCCTGCATCATTGAAATCTTCCTCTATTAGGGCCGGCCCATGGCTCACTTGGGAGAGCGTGGTGCTGACAACACCAAGTCAAGGGTTAAGATCCCCTTACCGGTCGTCTTTACCAAAAAAAAGAAAGAAATTTTCCTCTATTATATCGTTCTCATCAGCATATACACCTGCTGTGCTGTCTCCCTTCTGTAAAAAGAGCTTCCTTTGACCCCACATCCTCCCCTAGCTCCTGCCCCCATTCCTCTGCTTGCTTCTTTACTGGAAGTTTTTTGAGAGCGCTGCCTGCACTTGCTGTCTTCACTGCCCCTCCTTCAGTGAGGCTTCTGTACTTGCCCTTGCCCAGGTCACCCCATGACTTACACACTGCAAAATCCAATGGCCAATGCTTATGTCTCAATGCTGCCCAATGATCAGCAGCATTGACCCCACTTCCAGAAATTTTTTCCTCACTTGCTTCTGGGACACCAGCCTTCTGGCTGCTCCTCCCACTTCACTGGCCATTTTTCCTCATCTCTTGCATTCGTCTCCTTTACCACCTAGACCTGCCCCAGGGCTCAGGTCTCAGAACCATTTTACATTCTCTATCCACACTTACAACATAGGGGATCTAATCCTGTCCTATGACTTTTAAATATTTGTATGCTTATGACTCCAAGATTTTTATCTTCAGCAGAGACCTCTCCCCTGCACTCCTGGCTCCCATTTCTGACTGCACACCTGGCATCTCCACCTGAAGGTCAAAGAAGTATTGAACTTAACATGTCCTAAGCCAAATTCCTTATCCTCCTCTCCAGGCCAATTCCCACATATCTCAGTAAATGGCAACTTCATTCTTCTAATTTGGCTCAGGCTAGAACCTGGAGGTAACGCTTTATTCTTTTCCTGTTCTCACATCCACTCCATCAAGCAATCCTACCAGCCCTGACTTCAGAATATGTCCAGAATCTAATCACTTCCTTCCATTCCCCACTAATGTCATCTTACACCTCAATTTCTGCAATAACCTCCTTGCTGATCTCACTGCTTCTATCCTGGCCTCTCTTCAGCCCATTCTCAGCACAATAGCCAGAAGGATCCTTTTAAAATAAAGTCAGGTCATGGTGCTCCTTTAGTCAAAGCACCCCAGTATCTCCCATCTCTCTCAGGCCCTCATCTCCATCCACTCTCCCCCATGCTCGCTGTGCCCCAGACACACCTCCAACACACCACAGCAGCATCACATCTCAATTCCTGCAGGTCTCTGTTCACATGTGACTCCTTAGAGAGGCCTTCCCTACCACCCTGTGTAAAACAGCAGCTCTCCCTGTCTTACTATGTTTATTTTCCTTCATAGAACACATTGCCACCTGACATATTATACACTTAGGAGTATCTTAGTTTACGTCCATCCTTTCCATGACAAATATCAGCTCCATGACAGCAGGGGCTTATCTGAGTCATTCACTGCTGTGTCCCCAGTTCCTAGAATAGTGCCTGGTATGGAATCAACAGTCATTAAATATTTATAGATGAATAAATGAAGCAATCTTAGTGCTGGGGGTGCAGAGAAGAGAGCTTTTGGCTGGCGAATCAGGACAGGCTTTTAGAGTGAGTAACATTTGAACTAGACTTGAAGGGTGGGCAGAATTTCAGAAAATCTGGGTCCAGCACCTCCAGTCTCCTCCCCTCCCCTCAGCTCTAACATCACCTGCACTTCCCCTTCATAGCACTAAGCACGATACTGTAATGGACTATTTCCCTGTCTGTCTCTCCTGCTAGACTTAGGCAGGAATCATATCTTGTTCACTGCTATATCCCCACCATCCAAGACAGTGCCTGGCACATAGTAGTTGTTTACTAAAAATCAGCTGGATGAGTGAGTAAATGAGTGAGGGAATGAGTGTACAAACAAGAGGTGGACAGAAGGGCATGCCTGGTAAAGGAACCATAACAGTAAAGTGTGAGGGCAAAAAGCAAAGGGCACACTGGGGACTGTGGACAGGAGCAGGGAGCATGGGAGGCGAGGCTGCAGTCAGCCAGCCAGGAACAAACTCTGGGCAGGCCTGGCTGTAAAGCGAGCCCCATGTTTCCACCGTGAGCTAAAGCCCCTGGTTACATCACTGTGCGTGTGGCCAAGGCCTGCACAGGTGTCCTCACCATCCTGTGGGATGATCTCATCCCTACAAGGGCCCGGCTCAGAGCCTACCAGCCCCATGACCTGCCCAATACAGCCTCAGCCTTCAGGATATCTGAGTCCAGTCAGGCTGGGGTGAGGGGGCTGGGGTGGGGCAAGGAGGGGGATGCTGAATGGACCCCATAGCCCCAAGGCTGGGGCCTCAACCCCTATGCCACCCTCTGGTGCCTCCACATACAGTGAGGGCCAATCTGACAGCTCAGGGCTTCAGAGCAAAAATGGGCTTTGGAAGCAAATTTATTTAGGAGAACACATTGCCTTGTCCCCTGGATAAAGTGAACTTTATCCTAAAACACTCAAAAGCAGGAGAGATTTGGGCTCTTCGCTCCCAGCTACACACACATACACACTTTTGGCCCTGGTCAGGAGAGCCCACAGCAGTACTTGAGCTTGTGGCCTTCCCTCTACCCCTTCACACCCTGTGACCTCTGTTTCACAGCCAGCAGGCCTGACTTGGAAACCCAGCTCTGAGATTCACAGCCTCATCCTAACCATTCCCAGTTTGGAGGAGCTCAGATTCAGAAGAAGAATAATGAATAGAAATTTGGAGTTTGCAAATAACTTTCCAATACAGAATTTGATTTGGCCCTCAGAACGATCCCATGCAAACAACTGCTAACATTTATTGAAGAATTACTATGTGCCAGATACTAAGCTGAATACTTTTTACATACTATTTTATGTAATCCTCACAAAAATCCTATGAGGAATGTACTGTTACTAATGACCAATTTAAAGAAGAGGAAATCAAGGCCCATGAAATTAAGGGTCCTGCCCAAAGTCATCTAGCTAGTA